AATGTATGTAAGTACACCCATGTCGTGCAATGTCTGCACAGGTCAGAAGAATGTATCATATCCCCTGGAACTGGAGGGATGAATGGTTGTTGGCCACCATGTGGGTGCTGGGAATCAATCCCGGGTCCTCTGCAAGCGCAACCGGTGCTCTTAACCACTGAGCCATCTCTTTAGCCCTTGAATTTTTTATTCTTAAATGAGGAGCTGCACTGAAATTTGTTCACCTTAGCTATCAAATAACATCAAATAACATCACAGGTTACAATATTAGAACACCTTGGGTTAGGCTGCAAATAGCCTCCCCATTATTTGAGGTTTTACTTACCACAAGTTCAGTTATCTACTGGCTAACTGGGAAATTCTAGAAACAAATAGTTCATATTTTTAAATTTCATGCTATTATGACCAATATGGTGAAAATTTCTGCAGTCTTACTCTATCCTGTCCAGAGTATGAGTCATTCCTTTGTCTAGTCTCTCCATAATGTATATGCTACCAGTCTGTGATTAATTCAGTGACCACCTTAGTTACCAGCCAGACTGTAGCAATTTTGAAGTGCTAGCATAAAAGCACCCCTTATTTTACACCAATGCCCCCAAAGTATGAGAACAGTGATGCAATTCAGGTGTGCCAGAGAGAGACCCCAAGTGCCTCCTAAGTGTCACCTCACATTGTCACAAGAAAAATGATGAGTTCTCAAAATAAGATGTTCAAGGGAGACATATTTATGAAGCTTTTGTTACATAATTGTTCTGATTTATTATTAGTTAATGTTATTAATCTCTTTCTATGTCTGACTTTAAATCAAGCTTTATCCTAGGCATGCATGGACAGGAAAAAGCTCAGTACATATAGGGTTTAATTGTTCATGATTTCAGAAACCCAGTAGTGTTCTTTGAGCAGATCCTCCACGGAGGTAAGGGAGCTACTCAGTTCCATCTTCCTTCCCTCCCTCCCTTCCGTCCTTCCCTCTTTCTCTTTCTTTCTTTCTTTCTTTCTTTCTTTCTTTCTTTCTTTCTTTCTTTCTCTTTCTTTCTTTCTTCCTTCCTTCTTTCCTCCCTTCCCCTCCCTCCTTTCCCTCCTCCCTCCCTCCCTCCCTTCCTCCCTTCCCTTCCCTTCCCCTCCCCTTCCTTCCTTCCTTCCTTCCTTCCTTCCTTCCTTCCTTCCTTCCCTCCTTCTTCTCCCATTCTTCTATTTTTCATCTTTTTGTTTATTTTAGTGAGCTCAGCTGGAGTTCTGAAGTTTAAGATATTGATTTCCATCATTTAAATGTCAGAAAAAAACTGTTTCTTTGAGAGATCATTTCATTTTGTAACCCTGGCCTGCCTGGAACGCATAGAAATTCACTTGTCTCTGCCTCCCGAGCATTGGAATTAAAAGTGTCATCGGCATACTCACCCAAATTTCAAAAGATTTTTAAAGATTGTATAATTTATTTATTTGTGTGTGTACTAGTGAACATCAGGGAAGAATTTGCAGGAGGACGGTATCTCCTTCTACCATGTGGGTCCCTGGGGATCTAACTCAGGTTCCCAGGCTTTGCACCTCTACCCTCTGAGCCATCTTGCCCACTGGAAATTTTTAAGACTATGAAATTTGCTTCTTTTTAAAAAAATCAGATCTGGCCGGGTATGGTGGCACATGCCTTTAATCCCAGTACTCAGGAGGCAAAGACAGGTGGATCTCTGTGAATTCAAGATCAGCCTGGTCTACATAGTGAGTTCCAGGCCAGCTGGGGCTACAGAGAGACACTGTCTCAAAAAAAGACCGCCCCCCCATGGAGAGACCCCATCTCAATAAAAGACCCCCCCCCAAAAAAGTCAGATTTGAAAGTACTGGATGTATACCTTTGCAGGGCATATTATTGGATCCTTGAAGGAGCCTCTGTCTTCAGCTGAGGCTTGGGTGTTCACACTTCTTGAGCTGTGATAGCTCCCATCTTTCTCCACTCTCTCCTGCAACCCAACCTCTGAGCACAATGAAACCACTATCCTTAATTACATAGGTATTTGAGTTTGTCTTCTCCCTGTTTGAAGAAGGTTTAGCATCTATTCTGGAAAGATTTGTAATTGCCCAAAGAACTAAATGGTTTGACACAAGAAAAATCAGATTCAGTGATCCTGTCCTATTTCAATTTGAATTATCAATTATTTCATGACTGTTTCCACGGGCTTTTTCCAGTGTTGTGACAGGGCTTGTGATAGTCATCAGGGCGGCTCATTGTTCCCACTTTCTATAGCGTATCTGTTTTAAAGGATATTACATAGACCTGAATGCACAAAGTGCCACGTGTTGAAAAAACTGTTTTTGACAATACGATACATAGTGACATGACTTCCATTTCAATGGATCTGTCTCTCATTCAGTTCTGTATTTTATTGAAAGGTGTGAGTCATGGAGGTTTGTTATTGTTACTAGAGTTGCTGACCCATTTATTTGGAGCCAAGTGGATCACTTAAGACATCTGCATGTCTAGAAGAGAATGCATTCAATATTTACATATGGTTATATAGATTCTTTTGAAAGTCAATTTTGTAAAAGACAAGAATGTTTTGTGCAACCACTGTCAGAGAAATCAACTAAAATCAACTACTTTACAGGACAATGCTCACCTCCTTTCTTGGATATATGTATTTTGTGGTTGTTGTCTTAAATCACAATTTCTCTTTGAAAGATTAACTTGTTAGACATAGTTCATTCTTAACCTATCAAATATTAAAAGGAGGACCTAATGACTCAGTCTACAGTCACAACCAGTCTGGAAGCTGGTTTACCTTGGGTCCAGAGACAGTTTAAGGCCAGCCTAGGAAACTTAATGTGATGGCTTGAATGAGAAATGTCCCCTGTATGTTTGAGTATTTGAATGCTTGGTTCCCTGTTAGGAAGTCATAGAATCTTTAGGAGGTGTAGCCGTATTGGAGGAAGTGTGTCACTGAGGACAGGCTTTGAGAGCTCACAGCTGGGGCCTACTTCCAGTGTGCTTTCTCTGTTTCATATTTGTGGTTCAGGAAGTGAGCACCATACCTGATGCTTGCTGCCATGCCTCCCTATCATGAGGGACTCTTATCCCTCCATAAGCCAAACAAAGTCTTTCTTCTGTAAGTTGCTTTGGGTAATGGTGTTTTGTCACATCAACAGAAGAGCAACTAATACACTTAGGAAAATACTGCCCCAAAACAAAAGGAACAAATGAACAATGACAACAGAGGAAAGAGGACTAGGGATGTAGCTCATTGGTAGAGCACTTGCTTAGCATTTGTTAAGCATTAGATTCAATCTCCATTGTCACTTTGTTGAATTAAAACACATTTTAATTTTGTAAATGACATTTTCTTAGAGTAAAAAATACAAAAATAATTTAAGGAGAATTATGTAGAACATCTTGGCTATTTCCCATTCTATTTACTTTTGGGTCTTGGTAATGGAGAAGCCTTATACATAATTCTATAATGACACATCAACTGAAGATGAATTTCAGATTACACTAAATAAACATGTCTTATAAATACAGTGTGAACAGAGTATGCAACAGGTCTCGCACGACTGAAAACTCAGTCCTCACAGGAGGAGCTTTAATTAATATTTGGGGAATATTTATTATCTTAAACAGCTAAGTACATCTCTTACCTTTGGGTAAAGAAATCTAATCTAAATCAAATCATCTTGAATATTTCAGAGAAATTCCATGTGAACTAATATGACCATCTTTATTTCAGAAATGGAATATAAATACGTAAAATAATTTTTTAAAAGCTAATGTAGAGAGGTAAGTGATCATGCAATGCTGGGGCAGCAGGGAATGGTTAAGGGAAGATTGTTTTTTAATCGCAAGCTTTCGGTTTCCTAACATGGTAGACTCTACTGACCCCTTTTAAAAATGATCAAGGGAAAGAGTAAAGTTCTGGAAGGGCTGGCTTCCAGTAAAGAGTTTGTGGGGAGGAAAGGGCAAACAGCTTTGGCAATTGTGAAGGGCCTATCTTAATTCCCTCCTAGCGGGAATTCAGAGTGGTAAGCTCAAGGCTTCATCAGTCCAGGGCTACAACAACAACAACAACAACAAACCCTGCACAGCTCAAGCAACTGGCTTTGGATCTGATTTTGCACTATCCGACTTAGAAACTGTCCGCAGACACCTGTTAAGGTATTTGATCCTCCTGGCCCAGGAGGATCTGGACAGGTTTCGCCTTCCCGAGACAGCCCAGTTTCTCGAGCTCCAGCCCAAGAGCCTGAGGAGCCCTTTGTCCTCGGTGCCATCAAACTGAGCGCTTTTCTGTGCTCAGGAGCGGATCCAGCTCTCCACCTTCAGAAGGAAATAGGAAGCAACTCTCGGCTGGAAGTGGGATTTGCAGGCGCTGCCAAAGAACCGAGACTCCCGCCTGCCGGCCTCCAGTCAGAGGTCATCCTCCTTGGAGTAGGGGACCGCGGCTCCCTCCCTGCAGCTGGGACTCTTCTTTGCCCTGAACTATTCCCTGCGGATTTGGTGAACTTGGAGCTGGAAAGTGAAGTGAAAGAGTAGCAGCTGCAGAGAGAGGCGGCGGCGAGCGATGGTGCGCTGCGCTGGGTAAGGGTCCGGATGCGCACCGACTACCAGGAGGCAGCGGACACTGCCCACCGGCTCCCTGGTCTGCGAAGCGGTCGTTCCACAGCGCCCGCACCTGTGTCCTTTCCTTCCAGGGTGGGGATCACCTCCGACCCCACCCCCACCTCAGACCCTCCCACCCGCCCCCGCCCACCCTGGGCTGTGCGCGGCGCAGGGCGGTGTCCCCACGCACCGCCCCAGAGGTCCGAGACAGAGCCCGGCAGCACCAGCCTCACCGCTCCGGCTCCTGCAGCTTCGGCACACACTGCTCCAGCGGCTCGGCGGTTCGCTGAACTCAGGCGGTTCGCTGCCGGCTGCCCGGGACCCGTCCTAGTCCTAGTGACAGAACTGAGCCGGTGTTGGGCACCTCCCAGGGCCTCTCCCGGGGACTGTCTAGATAGCCATCGGAGTGGCTGGCTGCACACGTCTACCTTCCACATCTGAACAGAATCGCAGAGCCAGAGCACAAAGTAAGTTCTAACTCCAGTTCACCTTCTGAGAACATCTCCAAAGGAGCCCAGAGTCCAGTACTAGGAAGATGGCATGGGGGAGTGTTCCTAAGGGTAGTCTCTCCTCCAGCCCACGTTTAAATGAAATAAAAATCGGGGCGGGGGGTGGATAAGGGGTAATATGATTGCTCTTCTTTTGCTAGAATTTTTCTTTTCTGCTGAAGGTTCTCAACTCCTCCTTGATAGAGCACTGACAGTTGTTTCGATTATGATTGTTTCCTTAGAAATGAAGCACCGTCTAAAGTGCAAAGTCATCGTGGGGTCCAAAGGAGGTGGTGGTGGACACATTTATGTGAGCATTTATTCATTTCCCCCAGACGGAATCAACCACCGGTAGGAACATATGACAGTCTCGCAGCAGGTCACACTAACATTTAAAAACCATCACAGTAGGGCCGCATCATTAAAAGCTCAATGGCATGTTAAGAGGCAGTGCTAGTGTAGGAGACCTCTCAGAACCTCAAATAAAGGAAAAGGAGGAGTTCAAGGACTTTCTGATGAATATGTTCATCCTTCCACTTAGGCAAACAACCACATCTTGCATGCAGCATTGTTGGAAGTCCCATCTCCCCACATGGCAGGCCTAGCAGGTGAGTAGAGTGGCCTGACCTTTGGGATTTTTCCCTGGGAAAAGATTCCTGGAAATTGTGCTTAATAGGATGCCAAGCTTTACCCACCTGGAACAATCCTGTTGACGAAATAAATTGCAAACCCCACAGATTTCAACATGCAGTCTAAGTACTAACTGCTTTCTGGTTCATTCAAAGCACCTTGAATCTCAAAAGAAAGTCATTCTACAAGTAAATGTTTCTATAACAAATTCTCTAAAGATTTATCTATTCAAGAAGACAGCACCACCCCATAATACTAAGTTTCTTGAAGTGCCTGAATGCCTCATTTTGCCTTATTTCTAGAAGGGACTTTACCTATTTCTGTTTGTGGTTTAACTTGGGGCTTGAGTATGGGAACTTCCTCTGTATTCTCTTTCCCTCCCCTAGTGTCTACTTTTTTCTGAAGTGCTGTCGTGAATGAAAAATTCTCCATTCCGGTTTACACTTTGCCTTAGCTCAGGGTCAGTAGTGTGCTTAAAAACAGCTCATAGTAGTCACAGGCTCATAGATCAATAACCATTCCTGAAGAGAAGTTGTGAATAAAGGGACTTCAGAGTAAAGAAAATAGGACTGAAAAGCAGGAGGGAAATAGTCAGTAAATCAAACACACTCCTACTCCCAGTGCCCTTCAGCTTTGTGCTTACACTCAATTTTGTGTAATCTCCAAACTCCAACCTTTGGCATTTCCTTAATTCTGGTACTGGCTTGTCTGATATGATTAATTGTGCTCTATTGTGTCAACCTCTTAGTCTAAGAGAAATGGTACAGCCTATCAAATACTCAGTGACTTGAATGGCACATTTCCAGTTTCTCTAGCTATTAAAGAACAGGGCAAATGGAAAGAGGGTCTGGTCTATGCAGAACTATCTAGAAAGTACCACTATAGCAAATACAAATGTACGTGGAAAACTCTCAGGGTCCTGTGAGGTGATGGGGACTTTGTGTGTGTGTGTGTGTGTGTGTGTGTGTGTGTAAGAAAGAGAGAAAGAGAGAGATACAGAGACAGAGAGACAGAGGGAGATGGAGAAGGGGGAGAAGGGAAATGGAGAGAAATAGAGATAAGTACTTGAGAAAAGTTTCTTGATAAAGTATACTGATGGACATTTTAAAGGTTACAATCAGGAACTTAATTAAGAGGGTCTTAGGACAAATATCTTGTGGAAGCAAGTATTTGGTTAAAAACAAGAAAATAAATACAAGGCTGTTGTGTCACAGCAAGGAGTCCTGTGTGGTATTATCTTCAGTAAAGAATAGGACCAAAAATATACTTCTTATTGGACAGGTAGAACCAGCTACTATTAAAATCACACTTGTATTTAGCTTCATATTTGTTTTGCCAAATTATCAAGTGGCTTTAATGTACTAGATGATGCACTGGGGACAAACAATGGATTAAGAATATCCAGTTTCTGTCTTCAAAGAGATTGCTATGGCAGGTTGGACAAAGAAAACAATCACAATGTGGCCTGGGGTATGAGCAATATCAGAAGTGAGCATGTGCTTTTAGGGTAGTTGCAGACTTCCTAGTTCACCACAGGGAGGGCAGAGAGGACGGGGAAGACTGAGGTGCTTCTGGAATTGGGGATAGTTCAGTATGACAGAAGTGGGATGCCAAGGGAGATAAGATCAGAGCCTATGTGGTGTTATAGCCTTCAATGTTGTATTAAGGAGCTGAGGTTGGTTTCCATAGACCAAAGATATCATGTTGTATGGATGCAAGTCTTTTAGTAGGAGAGCAAATCAAAGTAAGCTTTGAACAGATCAGGAAACAGAAAATCTATTCAAGAATGTAAAAGAAAAAGAATCAGTGCAGAGAACTGGTTATGTAAATTTTGGGAGCTGAATGTAGGTGAAATTGGGCCTATGTGGGGATTAACAGGAATAGGAGTTCATTACTACTTCAAGTTGGGGTGGGGGGGACTTGGAGGGGAGAGAGTGTAACCCAGTAAGCACATCCAGAGGAAACAATCACAATGGGTGCAGACTGTGGACAGCAGGGCCATGAAGAGCTACGGCGAGCCTCAGCCAAGGGAGGACCACACCTTGGTTTCTTCCTTCCTCATGCCTTTGACTTATTTTTTCTTTTCTAAAAATTTGTTTATGTGTATATGACGGGTGTGTGGTGTGTATGTGTGTGTTCATATGTGTATGAGTGTGAATTCAGGCATGCCACCACACAGGTGGAGGTCAGAGAACAACCTCAGATAATGGTCCTCATCTTCCACCTTTTTTTCTTTCTGACAAAGGGTCTCTCATTGTTCTCTCCTGCATTCACCAGGCTAGCTGCCCATGAGCTTCTGGAAAGTCTGTCTCTCTACCTCCCATCTTGCCGTCTTGCTTAGGCCTAAGTGAGCTGAAATTATAGATGGGTTTTGGAATGCTAATTTTCATGCTTGCATGGCAAGCATTTATCCACTGAGCTAGCTCCCCAGTCCCCTCCTGCTTTAAGTTACCACCAGTTGCCTCCCATTGGTTTAATCCAACCAGCATCCTTATGACTTGGGAGCCTGAAAGTGAGGGTTCTGTGCTGTTCAGCCCTCCAGGGGTAAATGACAGAACAGAGAAGGGAGAGATGGGAAGTGAGCTGGGGCACATCCATCCATCCGTTCAGCATGGTCTGTGAGCTGAATGAGCACAATTCATGGGCCAGTGGGGGTATAGATGCTATTATGATTAAAAAAAAAAACTCATTAAAAGATGTTCTGATTTAATAACAGTAGCCTTTTGTGGCTCTGCATACGGTCATAAGGTGTTCCTCCTAGGATGCTGTATCTGAGTGTTTTTATATACTTAAAAAGAGAATTTATAGTAAAAGCAAATGTATTATTTTAAGCCATCTAGGAACAACTAGAGGAAATAATATGGTCGTGTATGAATTCAGAAAAGCTATTTAATGTCAGAGTAAATTCTGCCAAACAGAACAGAAAGGCCTTAAAGCAGAGATACTACTGTGCTGCCGCTAGACCCAGCATAATTCTTTCTTCATGAAACTGGTTTGTAAATGCTTGCTGAATGCATGCAAAAATAAGTGCAAGTACCTCCAGAGTAGATTGTGCCTAGCTTTACCTGTTTATTTGTTAGTGAGAGAATCAATGAATGAAAGCGAAAGAGAAAAGAGGATAAGCACATGACCAATATTGGGATTATGGTTAAGAAATTGAGTCAAGCAAAACCCATGTGGTAGAAATAATGAGAAGAGACAGGAGGAGGAAAGAGGCCAGTCTGAGGGATCTTTTAAACACTGGGGTCTCTAGGAGACAAGAAAGCCTAAGATGTTCACATCATCTTTAAACTTTAGGGCTTTTAATTAATGCATTGAGTAGAGTAGGTCATACAGGAAGAAAAATACTGGGGTGTGGGGTAGGAGGAAAAAAAAGCACCTGAACATCTATATTTGGGGCTGGAGGGAAGAATTTAGACTTGGGCATATTTTTAATGTAGTATCTTTGTGCAGTTATTCTCTATGTGGCATGGGACATTAAATAAAGCAACTGGTATACATGGGGTTCCATTTTAAACACCAAGTGACAAAGTAGAAAAAACTCAGTGCATTTGTAATACTAACATCTGGGAGGTGGAGACAAGTGGATCCCTGGGACTCACTGGTCAGTCAGCCTAGCCCAGTTGGTGAGTTTCAGGCCAGAAAGATACCCTATTTCAAAAAACAAGGTGAATTGGACACAAAGAACAATGCCTGAGGTTCATAATGGCCTCCACGTATGTGCACACATTTGTGGACTACACACACACACACACACACACACAGAGAGAGAGAGAGAGAGAGAGATCTTTGTGGACTACACACACACACACACACACACACACACAGAGAGAGAGAGAGAGAGAGAGAGAGAGAGAGATCTATTTAAGAATCTACTCAGTGTCCCCTCCAACAGCTATCAAAATACCTGAAAGCAAATCCTGAATCCATCACTCTAGAGTCTAGCCTTGGAAGACAAAAGAAAAATGAGGAGGAACCCAATAGAGGGATGTTTTTGGAAGCCCTTGTCAAGAAACTCCAATGGACTCTCATATGAACATTTGAAAATCACCCTGTTCTGACTTTTTTCTAGTTCCCTGTCTAGAACTTGTAATGCTAAGTACTCTTGCCTTTCCTTCTTCAAAGGGGTACCCCAGTTGCCTCACCCTGCATCCCTGTTCAGCATGGAAGAAGCCAGAGCAGTTTGTGTGCCAATTCCCTATTGGCAATTTGGGTAACCTCTTCAGAGGATGGTGTGACAAGAATAGGAGGTAGGAATTGGCTGGGCAGTTAGGGTAAAAAGACCCGAAAGAAAAGGAGCCAGTTTCTTGGCTAAAATTCACAATGTCCTTGGGCGTCTTAGCAACATACTCTGTTCCAAATGTCAAAAATGTTTAAAATATTTGGGGCTGTTATCTAATTCTTTAAAGATTTTAAGGTTACCTCTTCAGAGGGGGTTATGTTAGAGTAGCGAAAAGCCCCCCAAAAATAAATAAAAGAAGGAGTACATGAAGTTATCAGAAAAAAAGTGATGGGGAGATATGGGAGGAGTTGGAGGGGAGTGAGTGGGCATGGATTTGATCAAAACACCTTATATGCATGTGTGAAATTCTCAATAAATTATTTATTTAAAAAAAGAATCTACTCGGTTCCCCTTATTTTATTCTTCCAAAATTCGGTCGTTTAACACAGGAGTTTCTCCCTTTCCTACACAGTGTGTTGATGTAGATTAAGTTTAGAACAGTTAAGAGGGTAAAACATCCCTTAAATTTAGTCAATTTATACCAATTATAAAATTGATAAAGTTTATTATAGTCGTTCTTTGGTAAATTGGGAATATATTTAGTAGAATTCATAGCAGGGTTCTCTCATATAGAAAAATATGCTTTCTTATCATCATAGTATACATTTTAAAGACCTTGTTTCATTGATTCAGTTATGAATAGACTGACCTAAAGGACTTGCTTTGTTAAGATGTTTTACTATGTGACAGGGATAAGAGCATAGCTATATGGACGAGCTCAGCTCAAATTAAATAAGTCCCTTGGGATAATTCATTTTACTTGTGGTTTCCTGTACCATACATGTTCTTTTCTATTGTAGGTTCTTGCAGTCTTTGTAGGCCAAGTGGAACTGTGCTGAAGATGGGCCCGATAGGTGCAGAGGCGGATGAGAATCAGACAGTAGAAGCGAAGATAGAATTACATGGGCCGGGACACACCACTCCTAGAGGTGAGATGGCCTCTGATCCTGAGCCTGAACTCATAGACAGCACCAAGCTGATTGAGGTGCAGGTGGTCCTCATATTAGCTTATAGCTCCATCATCTTGCTGGGGGTAGTTGGCAACTCTTTAGTGATCCACGTGGTGATCAAATTCAAGAGCATGCGCACAGTAACCAACTTTTTCATTGCCAACCTGGCTGTGGCAGATCTTTTGGTGAACACTCTGTGCTTGCCATTCACTCTTACCTACACCTTAATGGGAGAGTGGAAAATGGGTCCTGTCCTGTGCCACCTGGTACCCTATGCTCAGGGCCTGGCAGTACAAGTGTCTACAATTACCTTGACCGTCATTGCCCTGGACCGTCATCGCTGCATTATATATCACCTAGAGAGCAAGATCTCTAAGCGAATCAGTTTCTTGATCATTGGTTTGGCCTGGGGCATCAGTGCCCTGCTGGCAAGCCCTCTGGCCATCTTTCGGGAGTACTCACTGATTGAGATCATCCCTGACTTTGAGATTGTGGCCTGCACTGAGAAGTGGCCTGGGGAGGAGAAGAGCGTTTATGGTACAATCTACAGTCTTTCCTCCTTGCTGATCCTGTACGTTTTGCCTCTGGGTATCATATCTTTCTCTTATTCCCGTATCTGGAGTAAATTAAAGAACCATGTCAGCCCCGGAGTTGCAAGTGACCATTACCATCAGCGAAGGCACAAAACAACCAAAATGCTGGTGTGTGTGGTGGTGGTGTTTGCAGTCAGCTGGTTGCCCCTCCATGCTTTCCAGCTTGCTGTGGATATTGACAGTCAAGTCCTGGACCTGAAGGAGTACAAACTCATCTTTACAGTGTTCCATATTATTGCCATGTGCTCCACCTTTGCCAATCCCCTCCTCTACGGCTGGATGAACAGCAACTACAGAAAGGCTTTCCTCTCAGCCTTCCGCTGTGAGCAGAGGCTGGATGCCATTCACTCAGAGGTATCCATGACCTTCAAGGCTAAAAAGAATCTGGAAGTTAAAAGGAACAACGGCCCCACTGACTCTTTCTCAGAGGCTACCAATGTCTAAGAAGGCAGGTGTGAAAAACTATGGATGAATTCCGACCAGAGCTGTCAATCTGGTTAGGGAAGGTTCGCTTGCCAGTGCATGCAGACCTCCCATTTTATGGACTAAAAGGCATCTGAATAATAATACAATTCCTGGAAAACTGGCTGGCAGAGCTGAGTTGAAAATTAGAAAATTCAAAGATGAGGTGACACAATGGTTTGCTTACTGATGCTCAGACGCTAGGTTAAAATGTGAACCAGAGCTGTCAATCTGGTTAGGGAAGGTTCGCTTGCCAGTGCATGCCGACCTCCCATTTTATGGACTAAAAAGCATCTGAATAATAATACAATTCCTGGAAAACTGGCTGGCAGAGCTGAGTTGAAAATTAGAAAATTCAAAGATGAGGTGACACAATGGTTTGCTTACTGATGCTCAGACGCTAGGTTAAAATGTGAAGAAAAGAGATAAATACTTTTGACTGTTTTCCCAGAGTGAAGAAAACTTGAACAACGGAATTGACATTATCATCATGGCTAAAAGGTGGAGGTAACTTTCGAAGCCCAATGGTCCTGCGCTAGGAATGCTGTGGACCGCAGTGCTCCCTCCTCATCTGATAAAAAGTTACTGAATACGAATTTCCCTAGGGCTTTCCATTATCCTACTTTAATTTTCTTGTTCTTCCTAAGATGAAATCCAAATTAGAATGACATGGATAAACAGTGCTTGTTAACTAATGGAGTGACTTTAAGATAACTTTAAGAAAATAAACTGAAATTGGGTATATGATTAATATTTAAGAATTGATGGGGGAAATTCTTAATGCTCAGTGCGTATAACACACACACACACACACACACACACACACAGTCACATGCACACACCACACATGCACTTTTTTGTAAAAATTTTTGATTCAGAATCAAAGACTGAAATTCTTAGACTTAAAAGATATGTAAACCCTAACTTCACTACTTATTTCGAGTTATTCCTGTTTTATATAGATACTATTTAGATAACAAGTAAGCAACTGAATCCTTTTGCTTATTGTTAATTTTTATAAACTTTTGGACCTATATAACTTCTGTTATCATTCCTGTAGTAGAAAAGTTCAGACTAAAATTTAAATTAGGCTGGAAAATAATTTTATGGCATTTGGTAACATTTCATGATTAGTTGTAAGCAACTTTTGCACAATCACATTGCCATATTATGCTCCCAGAGCATGCACTATTACTGTCTTTGGAGTTCATCTTCCATAGACCTAGTTACAATTAGTAGAAATGTGATTTCATTAACGTGGACCCATCTGGTAAAAAAATCCTAGAAACACTGGATTCGTTCTACTTTTAATGTTCTGTTTCAAAAATATTTCACGTGTTTTTTCTTTTCAAAATAATTATCTATATTTTTGGATAACATGAATATGCCTCTAACTGTAACTAGTGGAGTATAGATGCGGTAGTATTTTTCATTTAATGAGTACAATTTCAACAGTGCCCAACCAAAGATGCTAAATCTGTATTATGTTCACAAAATAAAAAGTAAATGAGATATTAAAACAGTAGAATTTATATGGATCTGTTAAAATATTTTCAAGTTAGGCATATTTTTGTAAATATGACAGAATTTGTTAATATATTCCTTACATTTTAGAGCTATTCAACATGAGTCTCATGCTGAGTTATACTATTATTTTTATGGATGTATTTAAAATTCATACTACAGCTCTTGGTAAATTCCTTTCGTGACTGAAATAAAAGATTGATCTTAAAGTGAACTATACTTTTGGAATGCTGAAAAGGGAATGAAAACAATAAAAGTTAAATTAGAAGCAAGACATACTAAGAAGTCAACAAAAATAATGTGTATCTGAAATGTATCATATAATATAGAACTTATTTTTCTGTTGGACTACCACACAGGGGTCTAAAGATAAGCTTTTTGCATTTTGCATAGAAATTACTTTGCTTAAGATGTTAAGAGAATTTTATTCTCCTTGCAGAATTCTTACACTGAATGAAATGTGTATGTTACTGTGTTTCCTGCCTTGATGGGGAATTATTAGAATACACTTAATGATTCAATTAACATATATATGATCTAGTTCACTATGTCAGTTCATTAATAAAATATCTTTTATGTAGTGATTTTAATGTTAAAATAAAAAGAACTTGGGGAATTAGAGAAATCGTGTAGAGTTTCCATCTAGCTCTTCTTCCATTTTATAACTGGATCTGGTCACTGGATATCCCTGTGAGTGCCTTTGGGATCCACATTCTGAGAATACTTCCGCCTTCATTTTCAGAAAAGACCTTTTCCTTGAATTTCAGACTTGTTCCTCTGTTAGCTGACAAGACAGGTCTGCAAAGGTCCCACCAATAGATCAAATCCAGTATGTCTCAAGCAGACCAGTTGAGTCCATGACCCCGCTCCTTTCGCCAATATACTGCATATCAGTTCCCAAGACCTTAATGCCTGGAGTTATCTTTGACTCTCTTCTGCCTTTATTTCACATACCCAATCAATTCCTTCATTTTAGTATAACTTCTAAATGTCCCTTGAATCAATTCACTTTTCCAGTTCCTACCATACTGATTATCTCCCAGATCTGTATTATCTCTTGTCTAAGTCACGGTAGTATCTTCCCAATTGTTCTCTATCTTATCATTCATATACAACCCTATTTATCTACTAGCTAAAGAAATTTTTAAATTTTCATATACAACCCAATATTTATCTACTAGCTAAAGAAAATTTTCAAAATTGAGGTTTTATCAAATCCTTGTTCTGATTAAAACTTTTCCAGTATCCTCATAATTCTTAAAATAAACTAAAAAAATTTCATAACTTGGAAAGCTATTTAGCTTTATATTAGGCGTCTCTAAAGGAACAGAATCAATGGAGTTCATACATAAATATAATAGATCATTCATTAGATTGGCTCACATGATCAGAGACTAGATATCTCACAATGATAACCTTGAGGCCAGACAGCCAGGGAGGCCAATAGTTTCTCAGTTCAAGAAGCTGAAAGCCCCAGAACAGGGAATGATGCAGCCCCAAGCAGAGGCTGAAGGTCTGGAGAGTCACTGGTATGAGGTCACTGTGAAAGGCTGAAGAAATTGGAGCCGAAGTGCCTGGGTCATGACAGCAGCTGTAAATGCACTCACTGAGGAAGAACGGATCTTGTACATGTTAGCTGACTTTCTTTTCTTCCAGTTTTATCCCACCAGAGCCTCAAGCCTATTGGATGGTGCTGCTCACATTCAGGGAAACCTTCTCAAGTAAACCACGAAGATTAATCATTGCAATATCTGGTTGTGCCTGAATGCTTTACCTCATGTGCATTTTCCTTTCTCTTGTGATTATTGCTAGATTGTAAGCATCATGAAGTCTTCAACTTCCTGTGAAGCTGAGAATGAACTTGAACCTACACCTCCCACGTGCTGGAGTTACAGGTGTATTTTACTGTGCCCTGCTTAAAACCTAGATTTTGAAATAAATATTAATGATTTGAAGGTAGCTCGACAATGTAGTAAACCATAAACTTTTCCCATTTTATCATACACCTTCTAGGAAAGTAAGGTATTACTATACAGGAGTCCAGGAATGATGCTTACTTATATAGGACAATATTGGGGATTTTTGAATTTTGTTTTGCCTTATTTTTCATTTGAGATTTCCCCCTTCTGAGGTGACTTTGGGTTGTGTCAAATTGACACAAAAGGTAACCAGCACATCCCTGGATGGAATGCAGATATGGCACAATTTTTGTTGAGCTGGAGTTCTTAAGGGAAAAAAATGACAGAAATCCAAATGCTGTACTGGAAAGCTTTAAAGCTGGAACCACAGTTCATAGGAGACATAAGCAAAATTAAGCAATACAAGTGAAAAAGATAAATTTTGTTCTAGGGGTAACAACGATTTTTTTCAGAATATACAGTGTATATTTCTACCATACAAGAAAGTTTACTGTGGGTGAAGATTGTTTGCTAGTACCCAGGTTTGTCTGATAGAGTAGCAAGGGCCACAGTAGGGCCTGTCAGAACCAGTGATCTGGCTCCTGAGGCAGGCACAGTGGCAGCAGGGCGATTCTTAGACCTGAGCCGGGTTGAACAGCTCAAACCAACCTTGCTGAGGCAATTGACTGGGGAGATGCACAGTGGCTCTGTGGTGGCAGCAATAGGAGGAGGTGTGGTGGCTGTCAGAAAATGTCTGTGGATTACAGAGGGCTAGATCAGGTGGTGTCTCCCATTTGTGTCATTGTTCCCAATATTGCTCCTCATGTGTGTGTGTGTGTGTGAGTGAGTGTGTATGTGTGTGTTTTCAAGTGTGTGGGTGCATGTTTGTGTACAGGTGCAAGTTCACAGTACATCTGTGGACTTGCCTGTGGAGGCCAGAAGTCAACTTGGGTGTCTTTCCACCTTGTTTTTTGAAAGTGTCTCTTACTGGAGCTCACCAAATGGGCTAGACTGGCTACCTAGAAATCTTCTGTCTCTGTCTTCCCAGCTCTGGGATTAAAGTGCAGGCTTCCATGCCCAGCTTTTTAATGAGGGTTACAAGGAATCATACTCATGTTCTCAGGCTTGTGCAGCAAGCACTTTACCAGCTAGGTCATCTCCCTGTTCACCAATATTGCTTCTCTTATGAAACAAGTGATAAAATAGATCTTTCCGTACCCCGCTGAACCTTCCTAACACTTCTTTATTAGTATCTCTGTAGCCATGCAAGTCCAACTTACATTTACTGGAATGGATGGTGGTGGTCCTTCAGAGATCCTGCAGACCACCTGTGAAAAGGTTTCATTACCTAATGCTACCTTTGAGTGTTTTACAGATTTGTAAAAGCATCTGGAAGAATAGCAGATACCACACATAAGAGTTTACATGAATGCATTATGTGTGAAAGGGAAAATACATTTCTAGAAGCTGTACGTTGTAGAACTAAAACGCCAGGGCCAGGGGTGGGAGACCTCTCCCTGTGAGTTGTGAGCTGGGAGGCCCTCAAGGCCCCATAAACCGTAAAGGCTACTGATACTGCTGTTGGTTACATGCCGGAAATATATGGTAAGTTTTTATTGCATGCTTTGGCTGTACAACGTCAAGAAATCAGGCTGGAACAGAACTGAAGGATCCCACCCTAGTGGTGTCACACAGACACACACATGGAGAAATATTGGGTACAGTGTCCCTCTCCATGGCTATTCATACATGTGAGGGAGAATTGTTATTGACAGTCCTGATCAGCTATGGACCCTGGAGTACTAACATGCCAGAGCAAGCTGTGCCTGTTAGCACAATAGTGGCACAGCTGTTTTGCAATTTTCTCAGTAGATATAAGGCCCACTCTGCAGTAAGGAAGTACATTCTCTAATCTAAAGCAAAAGTTCGTGGTTTAGGAGATCAATAAGCCCTAGGGGAGAGGCCAATGTCATTGTTTTTTTTCAATGGATGTGATGGTTCAGTCAGGGATTGCCTTGTAAA